TAATAATGTTCTAGTTTCAATATTTGATCATATGTGTGTTAACATTTCAGGTATCCACATCATTAGAGGAAGAGCAGCACACATTCATTATCACTGGTGTCCTTGACCCACGAGACAACAGCACAAAACTCTCTTTACAAGAAGCCATCTCACTAGGTATTGTCAATGAATCAACCAAGAGATATATCAATCCAATAACTGGAAAGGTAATCAGTTTCAAGATTAAATAGTTTCTTTTATAATTAAGTAATATCTGATTCATACCATTCATATGATATTACTATATATTTACTTGTAATGCATGTGATGAAAAATAATGAAAATATTACTTTGGTTAAACAAAAACTTAACCAAGCTATACAGTACAATATCATTATAAAATTTTACATGTAGTTAACTTTTGGTGATACCTAAAGATATTATATGGAAACCTGGTTATTCTCCCTAAATTAAGTTCTCAGGTTATTCTCTCTTAATTAGGTATCTGCATATAATTTAATTTTCTATCTATTTCTTACGAACTTTAGAATTTTGAATATTTTAGATCAAAGTAACATTATTTTACATGATTTAATTTGAGGACTAAAATTTAGCAATATAACAGTATTGAATTTTTACTAAAAGTAAATTCAATTGCAAAGTGACAAATATTAACAAGGTACTTAAAGCTGCAATCACTTTTGTGTAATCACTTTTTTTGCAATCACTTTTATTTTTAGCATTTGCTTTAATTTTTCTTTTGTTTTCTTCAAGTCTATGTCCATGACAGATGCTATGAATGAGGGGCGTGTCATCATGGAGTTTGTTAGTAAGAGGAAAATCAGAGAAGAGAAAAACACATATGGCCTTATCACCATTAAAATCACAAAAGTAAGGTCTTCAGAAAAAGATTTTCTATTAGAATGGATAGAATCTAGTTACTTAACTCTTTAATGTTTTGGTGAATGTCATTTGGAACAGACAAAGGCAAATTTTTATTGTTTTTATCCTTGTGTTTGGTGGTATGGAAAAGAATGTGTCTGCTGACCTAATACACTGTTTCTATGTGAGCTTCCCAAATTAAGAACAACTGAAGAAATGCCTTGAAATTCTTTAATAAATAGTTTAGACATCCGTTTACTCTTACTGGAATATAAGGGAAATATTGCCATTAATAGCTAGTGATGCAGAGCTGAAGAACTGTTATTAAGACAAGAAACACATACCTTGGAGAGCTAGTGAACAAAAAAATGCAGACAATGAAAAAAATCACATATATTAGTGACAGTATACAACAATTTTATCTGTAACACAGGTGGTGAAATATGTAGGTAAGAAACTTTATCTTAGTCATTTGTAAACTAGAAGAAATTCTTAACTATTGAAATATTTATTTCTTTACTATTAAAATATTTATTTTAATGTGACAAAGACAATAAACAGGCTTTAGATGTTAAAACTTTTATGTTATGACCATTTACTTTAGCCTGATAACTCAAAATAACAATGTTAAAAATGTTCTGTTTAGGATGTTTTTCGATCATTTACTTTTTAATAAGTTCTGTTTCGATAAAAATTATTTAAGCAGAACAGATGCTTAGGTTTGGTACTGGACTCATAAAAGGGAATATTATATTTAAGAATCATTTGTAAGTTTGAAAAAAAAAAGAAAAGAAATAACGCTTATTTCTCTGATCAATTGAGACTTTATAGAATTATTTATTGTACCTAACAAAAACATGAATCCATAAACAAAAATACTCAGTCCATTAATTATTGGTAATTAATTATTTTATTTGATATCAAATAAGGGAAATAACTTGCACATTATTGGTAGATATAGTATTAAGGATGGAGTTTTTCCTCTTTAGATAATCTTAAGGTTTTTTTCATATAGCTATTTTTGTGCAATCTTCTGTTCAGTATAAATCTTGAATATGCTTTTCAGGAATCAAGACCTTACACTATCACTACTGTTGTTGACCCTCGCACAGAGGAGAAACTGACTGTGTCTCAAGCTGTCAACAATAACATTCTGGACACAAGCAACTCCACATACAAGTAGGTTTACACTTAAACTAATTTAATTGGGAGGGGGCATCTATTCTACACAGAGGATGATTAAGAAGATTCTAAGAACCCATTTTAAGACCAGCTAAAGACTTACATTTATAGGACCAGAAGAGATCACTGAGCATCAAGTCTCTTCCAAAAAGCTGCCTGATCACTCAATAGGCTATTTGGACTGCCATCATGATAGTCCCAGCTTTGAGCCATGCCCACCATCATCCTCTGCAGACTTGCAGGAGGTTCTCTCTAGGATGTAATTATTTATCTTTTTTTTCTAAAGGATTGACCAAACATATTAAACAAGGTTTCTACTTAAAGCATGTAACACACACCCTTGTAACCCAATAGAACATTATTGTCAACATCAGAAGTGAAATAATGTAGATTGCAATAAAATTTGTAACCATGTCAAATTGCAACATCTTTAAACTTGGTGCATTATTGTGAAGCTACCACAAAAAAGTTATTTAAATATTTATATCTTAAGATTTTAGGCTTACAAAGTAGATTATGTTATACTAGTCAGATAATGTCAGCAGGCCTTAGGGTATTACTGAGCTAGTGCATTTCAATTTAGATCTAGTCTGTGTCAAACATGATGATTGTTTTGTTCATTGTTTAATTTTGCCATGAAAATATAAATAGAGTGTGAAAATGGGTTTCCCTGTTTAGCTGACATATTAATATCGATTACAAAATACTGTAAGAATAGGTTTACCCAATTTGTTAAAAAGGGATATTAAATGTACACTACAGTCTTCGCCATGACCTAAGGAAAATTTATGCCAAATTTTATCAAGCTTTGTCAAATGGTTTTGATTTATATGCGGGACATACATCATACGCCTTACTTTTTGCTTTATATATTACATAAATGTATAGTTAAAAATGAAATTCTTTTCTATAGAACTGAATCAGGGGAGAACATCCCTATTGCTGATGCCATACAGTCAGGTTTAGTTCATGTGACCTACCACGAAGGAGATGAACAGCATCACAAACCAGAAGTCATCACCAAAACCTACGCTGTGCATGGTGTGGTGGATCAGAAGCAAAAATCTAAAGTAAGCTCAGACTTGTGTTTGGCTAGACTGACAAAATATCTTCTTTTTTTTGGGAAGCATGGTCAAGAGGCTAAGTACGCTTGAACTTTACTTGGCTTGGCTATCTATGAAGGGGGCTTGACACCCGACTCAAGCAGAGTTGTGTTTACTAAGTGCTTAAAGGCAGCATGGAAAACTCCCAGCTACCTCCCCCCCCCCCCAACTGGTCCACCAATGAGATTGGACCATAGCACTCTGAATGCTACAAGCATAAAAATAGGGCTACATAAAAGCTATAATTAATTAATCAGTTGTTATTACAGAGGGGCATTATTTCTTGCAATTTTTATTGAGTGTATGTTGTAAGTGAAGTACCTCCTTTCAGACCTTACAATCTATGGGGGCAGATGATGTTTGCTTATCTTTTTCTATGGCCCATGGTGAATGAGGGTATTACTTCCCTAATGAATATGAGGTACTCATTAGAAGTGTGAAGACTCACCAGCATCCTTAAAATACTAAATTTCAAAATCTCACTCTCCACAGAGATTCAATCTTGAAACCCTTTAGTCCATAAGCCAAGAACCTCCATGTCTCGTGTTCAATGTAGCCTGACTGTTAAATGTTCTTTGACATTAAATCTCTAAAACAATTGCTTATATTTTAGCTAAATAAACACCAAAGTTTCTTCACGTTAAATTAAGCTGTCATTCTTTTTTTTTTTAAATTGCTTTAAATTTGTTTAATAGAAATTTTGAGCACAAGTTTTCCAGATAAATGAGACTTTATGTATGTTTTGTTGTTGTTGTTTTTTTCATTTGCTAATATAAATTCCACAACCTTGTTAGGAATAGCTTTATATTGCTAGGATGTAAGGATATTATAACTAATCCTTAATTATAATGCAACCTAAAACTTGAAAAGCAAAATCAGAATACCTATCTGTAATACTAGTACTAATTTTAAATAGTCCTTCAGCTTACTAACCACAATCAATAATTTTCAGATCCCTAACATTAAAAATAAGCAAAACATTTTAATCACTTCTTTGTGTTCTAGGTTTCATTTGCTGATGCTATTAAAGCTGGACTGTTGTCACGTGACTCTGGAGAATATATCAACAATGTCACTGGGGAACACATTGGGGTCCATGATGCCATCATGAAAGGTTTTATCAAAGCCAGGGTCGTGACTGACCCCACCAAGCTAGAGATCAATCCAGAGAACCAGATTGTTGTGGAGAAGCTGAGCAGTGCCAAATCTAAACTTTTGCGAGGCATGAAGGCTATCAAAGCATTCAAGCAATTGGGAATTCAGAAATAATGTCTGATATTCTATTCTTGATATTTTATATAGACTGTTAATACTGATGCTTTGAGTTTTTAATTTTATAAATGCCGTATTGTTTTCTAATCTATCAAAGATCTGATATATTTGTTTAATATATCTAATCAATATTTTTTTCAAGTGCAGGGGAGGTAATGTAATAACCACATAGACTTTCTACAAGATTTGAAAATATGTTCGTAGCTTCTCTTGCAACACAACGTCGTCTCTGCTGAAATACATACACTTTAGGGGCACTGCCATGACACAGAATAATCATAGAAGTCTCCACAATAAATGAACATTGTAGAAATGAGATTTGCTTGATAGGTTTTTAGGACTTCACAAGTAAAGTAGTCTTGATCTGTGATTTATTCAGCATCATAATGCTACACATCTCTAATCACCCTCTGAAAAATAGTTGACAAGATGATATATTAGTTGCCATTAGTGATAATTTTATTTTGAAAATCATATTTAATCCTGTGATTGATTCATACTGTATATATAAAATTCATCATATTCAAATTTATACTTTTCACTTTAATACCTTTTTGGTAATCTCATTCAGATATATATATACATATATATATATATATATATATATTTATGTTTTGTGCTTAAAAATACTATTTAAAAAACATTTCATCCGAGTTTTATTATTACCTCAAAAAATTTTCTTTTCTTTTTTCATTCCAATAATTGTATAACTTTTTAAAAAATAGTAAGTCTATATTTATTTATTTTCTAAATAATGTTATTAAAAATGGATGGCTGCCTGGTCGTGCGGTATGCACGCTGGACTGTCATTTGGATTTATCGATGGTCCCGGGTTCAAGCCCTGCTTGCTTCCATCCCCCGTTGTCCTGCGGGAGGTTTGGACTAGGAAACAAAGCTATCTTCAACTCTGAAGGAACATCTGAAACATGTAAAACATTTTAAAAACATACATTTTAAACAATTTTTAAGTTTATGACATTTTACTGTGAACAAAATGTATTTTAGAATTTCTGGCATTAGAAATAAATAATATATACATATATTAGGCTTCAATCTTAAACAAATTAAAACTATACCTTTTTCAAACTGATCAACTTATGTTTGTTTAATAAGCTATTAAATCTTTTTGTTTCAACTATTTTGTTTTTTTTTAATTCAAATATACAATTTTTTTATTAAAATATCCAAATAAAATATTGATTTAAATCTCATTCTTCTAAACTATGGCATGCTTTTAATTAGAAGTATTGTTATCAATACGTGGATTGTTATGAAAAAAAAAGTGTATGGAGCCTCTACAAAAATCCTGACCTGGGGCCTCTGGTTACTTAAATCTGGCCCTGCATGGATGTCTGGGGGATCAAGACACCTTTGTGCCTTACTCCTTCTGTCTAACTAGCGCTTGTGAATGCTAAGTTTTGTATTTGGCATCAACACAGTTGAATATCATAAGTCTTAAATTACTACATTAAGGCTCAACTCGTTGATTTTTCCTCTGGAAATCTATAGCAGTAACAAGAAAATGTTAAACTTAAAAAAAAAAAGCAAAGCTTATATAAAATGTAATTGTATCAATTAGTTTAGATCAGTCATGTGATTTAATATGAAACATATCTAAGCTAACAATAATAAATCTGTCGGCGTGTGATTAGAATTTTTACCAATTTTTTTTTTCCGCAATTTAATGCTTTTAGCTTTCTTAATATGCTATGATCCTATCACATGTCTGGACCAGTTTTGTTTTAAATACGCCAGTTAAAGATCTTCTCAAAGTTGTGACTTAATTCGTATTTCTCAGTCTATCGTGTCTCAAACAAAGGAGGTCAATTTAACATTAACGCTCTCGCTTGGGACTGTTACGGAAGAAATTGGTAATCTTCTTGATGAGACAAACAGCATTACGTATATCTGAAACGTCATTCAGGTCGGTTTGACGCGCAACGGACAAGGTCTGCTTTTGGATATTTTTCACGAATCCTAGCCAGAACTCAATTCTTAGTGCTACCCAGCATGGGGCACTCGTAGCAGCCTTCTCCGAGTAGCAGCCTATATTCATGTCCAGACTGTACTTAATGTATTCGCTGACAATGACACAGACTGGAACAAAACCAATCCATTCTCAAGTACGATGGCCATCAACAAATCCAAGTCCAATGCACAAACACATTTATTTAGTGCCTAAGATATCTGAAGTTTCATTACCGAAATACCAAGAAAACGCAGTTAATTCATGCTGCTATGGCTCGTATAGTTTGGTATCTTGCTGCTGCCAATGTTCCGTGGATACAAATCAAGGTTTTGACTCGGATGGCATGGGAAGAATCTTATATCTCTTCCATCGTAAACTGGTGGACGTGTTTCACTTGCTATTTTATCGAGCGCTAACACTGACCGCAACTCCGCAAGACGTAAATACATTTACCAAGACGACTGTACTCTTCAATCTTGTTCCAAAAATCTTTCACATTTATCAAATTGAAAGACAGCTTGCAAGAATTTTTCCTCAAAAAAATATCATATTCTAGGCCTTTACTAAATATAATGATAACTGTAATAGTGTGCAAGTGAAAACAAATCGTCACGACTAACATGCTGTAGAATATTGAATTGCAAGCCTATAATAAAGCGCACTTAATTACAATCCTTATTAACTTTATTTCAGTGTAAGCACTACATGTTAAGTTGCTTCCTAACAGAAGTTAATTGATTTGAAGGTGTAAAAAGTGGCTAAAATGTGGCTACTAAGGACGTTCCGATCAGGGCCGCTTCTACAGGTTGCGGGGCCCAATGCGAAACGGATTGCGCGGGGCCTAATTTGGGTTGTGATAAGGATAATAAGTGAAAATTAAGATTTTGTATTAGAAAATAAATTCGTCTTTGCATTTTATTCATACTTTACTAAGTACAAAATCACTGTCAACTTAACTTTCGAGCCATTTACATTAGAAGGTAGTTTTCCAACAAAAAGCTGATAAACATTCAGATCTGCCTTTTAGATTTACTATCGACTCGCAAAATATCGCTTTTTTTTTATATAAGAGGTCGATATAGATTTAGATATTTATTTGTATGCTAATGACTATTGAAGTAAATTAAGTATTTGAAGTTTTGTTTGGTTAAAATTCAGCTTTTTTTATTTTTACATTTTTATTAAATGAAAGCTGACAAAGCCTTTTTTATTTTTTAAATCGAGAGTAGTATTGGCGTTTTCCATATTGAATAAAACATCAAAATGACAATTTTGTCTGTTTTAAGATTTGCATCACTTTTCAGAAGATTTTAATAATCTCAGGACATTTTCATGACTTTTTCTTATATTTTATACTCTCAGGAGAATTCCAGGAACCCTTTAATAACAAGTTAAAATGGTTTAATTTAATAATTTACACATAGAATTCGCATCGCGCGGGGCGTATAAAAGTGCGGGGCCCATTGCGGCTGCATAGGTTGCAGTGGCCTAAGACCGGGCCTGGTTCCGATAAAGAAATATTTCCTTGGAATCTGAGCTCCAACTAAGTCTATTAAAGAAGGAGGCAGCATTGGCCAATACTATTTTTACGGGTGATGTTTGAGGTACATGAAGCGCACGCATGTCTTAAGATCATCTTCAAGTTCAGTAAGAAGCCTTGCCGCGAACTTTTCTAGTTGTTGTGTTTTTTTTTCACACAAAGATCGTCAACATAGCGACGTTAAAGATTGAAGAGAATTGTTAACATTCTGAACATTAAAAAATAATCCCGTTTTGAAATGTCTTCTTCAACAAAACAATTTAATCGATATTTTGCAGACGCGGCACACAAAGAGGTAAACATTTTAAAGGATCCTTATTTAGTAGAAGATACGAAGTCTTTATCTTACAATATTTTAACTTTTTAAACATTGATAATGTTATTCCACTGGGTTAATATTCAAAATTTGATTGATAACTTCAATGAATTGAAAGCTTTTAATTATACCCCTGTAAAATAATTTTAATTGCTTCACTCTTTCCCCATTGGTCAGGGCGCCGCGCCCTTATGAGAGAACGTCGGGCCCCCCGCCCAAGGGGCACCCCAACCACAGCTTGAGGAAAGCTGCAGTAGTTCATGCGAGTTTGTAATGGGCTTGTTGTCCTCAGGTCAACCTCATCTTTAGAAAGGCGTCTTGTAATGGGCTCGTTGTCCTCAGGTCATCCTCATCTTTAGAAAGGCGTCTTGTAGTGGGCTTGTTGTCCTCAGATCATCCTCATCTTTAGAAAGGCGTCTTGTAATGGGCTTGTTGTCCTCAGATCATCCTCATCTTTAGAAAGGCGTCTTGTAGTGGGCTTGTTGTCCTCAGACCATCCTCTTCTTTAGAAAGGCGTCTTGTAATGGGCTTGTTGTCATCAGGTCATCCTCATCTTTAGAAAGGCGTCTTGTAGTGGGCTTGTTGTCCTCAGACCATCCTCATCTTTAGAAAGGCGTCTTGTAGTGGGCTTGTTGTCCTCAGATCATCCTCTTCTTTAGAAAGGCGTCTTGTAATGGGCTTGTTGTCATCAGGTCATCCTCATCTTTAGAAAGGCGTCTTGTAATGGGCTTGTTGTCCTCAGATCATCCTCATTTTTAGGAAGGCCTCTTGTAGTGGGCTTGTTGTCCTCAGATCATCCTCATCTTTAGAAAGGCGTCTTGTAGTGGGCTTGTTGTCCTCAGACCATCCTCATCTTTAGAAAGGCGTCTTGTAGTGGGCTTGTTGTCCTCAGATCATCCTCATCTTTAGAAAGGCGTCTTGTAGTGGGCTTGTTGTCCTCAGACCATCCTCTTCTTTAGAAAGGCGTCTTGTAATGGGCTTGTTGTCATCAGGTCATCCTCATCTTTAGAAAGGCGTCTTGTAGTGGGCTTGTTGTCCTCAGACCATCCTCATCTTTAGAAAGGCGTCTTGTAGTGGGCTTGTTGTCCTCAGATCATCCTCATCTTTAGAAAGGCGTCTTGTAGTGGGCTTGTTGTCCTCAGACCATCCTCTTCTTTAGAAAGGCGTCTTGTAATGGGCTTGTTGTCATCAGGTCATCCTCATCTTTAGAAAGGCGTCTTGTAGTGGGCTTGTTGTCCTCAGACCATCCTCATCTTTAGAAAGGCGTCTTGTAGTGGGCTTGTTGTCCTCAGATCATCCTCATCTTTAGAAAGGCGTCTTGTAGTGGGCTTGTTGTCCTCAGACCATCCTCTTCTTTAGAAAGGCGTCTTGTAATGGGCTTGTTGTCATCAGGTCATCCTCATCTTTAGAAAGGCGTCTTGTAGTGGGCTTGTTGTCCTCAGATCATCCTCATCTTTAGGAAGGCGTCTTGTAATGGGCTTGTTGTCCTCAGGTCATCCTCATCTTTAGAAAGGCGTCTTGTAGAGGGCTTGTTGTCCTCAGACCATCCTCATCTTTAGAAAGGCGTCTTGTAATGGGCTTGTTGTCATCAGGTCATCCTCATCTTTAGAAAGGCGTCATGTAGTGGGGATGTTCTGTTCACGCAAAAACGTCAATATTACGATGTTTCGTTAGTCGAGAGAAATTGGTTTGTACTGCCGTAAAAAAAACGGAGTACACTCTAGTATCACGTTCTTGAAGAGGCATTAATTAAATCTTGCTGCTAACGTAGAAAAGTTTAACTCGGACGATAAAACATCACATAATTATTAATTTAATATGTCTTAAAATTGACTAATAAAGTCTTTTTCGCCTAATTAATACTAAAATATAAAATCTCTAAGGCCTCCTTCAGTCGCGAAGCGACTATGGATCATCTCGGTGAGATGAATGCCTGGGCATTAGCTGTAGTCGGAACGATGTTGCCCACACATCAGTCCCCCCATCTCCACGCAGCTGATGTATCCAAAAGGAACGGTAGTGCCGATACAGTTTGGGGTCAGCGGCGTCGCAGGTTCTGCCAGAGTGTAGCATTGGGTGCCGCAAACTGTCTTAGGGTCGCCAGCTCCTGATTTTTCCTCAGGGTTGACTCCCGAAGCCTTTCCTATGATTGGGTATAGCTGCAAGGCAACAGAGGTTTGAATTTAGAGTTTTCCTTCTCCTAGGTGGGTAGCCAGCCATGGCTAATGAGCCCCTCCTGCCCGAAGCTTACTGGTTAAGGCGCCAGTTGCTCGCCTTTGCCCCTTCTCCTGTTAGTGAGAACAGTTCCGCCGGACTCAATGTCTGAGTCACACGTAAAAAACTTCAATGCAAATACAAACAATGTTTGT